GAGTTGTTACTCAAAGCGTTTTTCGAGGAAACTAATTGTACCAAAACTAGCATGTGCACCGTCCACAAAGCATTCTTCATGCTTTAATTCACTCTGGAGTGTTTCTCTTGGAATTTAAAACTCTAATGAATACACATGCATGGCCAAACACATGCGTTATACTTCCGTCAGAAGTGTATTTAAATACACTGTCTACAAGATCCACTTGTTGATCTTCATAGAGCTAAGTCATGACATTGTCTACTTTCTCTTGTCTTAAGAAGTACGAACACCTTTTTCAATCATTCAGCCAAAGATTTTTCAGACTAAGGTAAAAATGAAGAGACCTTTTGAAGCATTATAACTTATGAATATGTCTACCTATCAACAGAGAAATTCCATTGATCTTGTCTTCAAACTACAGAGAAAAATAAATTCTCTAAAATGATTCTCAGATCACTCCTAAGAAATATAACCATAGTTTGATTCAGCCCAGTGACTTCCTAATGACATAATCAAACTCTAACGAACAAGTCCTCCACGAACATCACCAATAACAAATGTCTGAGTATCTTTCCTGACATCACATCCTCATAGAAGGTAAATATCTCCCCAAAATTGAACATCATGTAAGCTCCATAAGCCATGCACCATTGCAACAACAATATTTAACTCCCCCTGTCATGGATGAACAATGATCCTGTTGAAGAATAATACTTAACCTCTAGATGAAATAACATGAAGAAATTCACATTCTCATTGTGAAGGACTATGACTTCACACACCAACTGAACACATTCACACATTGTGAAAACAATCCTGAACCTGATGCACAAGCTCATTGAGAACACCTCAAGTGTATTGACTGCTTCAAGTTACAATGTCTCTTTGGATAAGCAAGATGTTATGCACACTTGGTTTGACAACTCACAAACTCTAGAACCCAAATTCCAAGTTTTCTTATACAACCCTCCCTTGCAGTAGAAGAAACCATCTCCCCACAGACATTCTGACCATGTCACACTATCTGATAGCATTTCCTTGCACCAACTAGCAATTACTGGTACAAGAGAAATCTTCAACATGACACTAGTTATGAATTCACCACACTTTCCAGTATACCATGAAAAGAAACAACCTTTCAAATAATTCTTGAAGCGAAGAGTTCAGATTGCAGACTTGCATACACCCATCAGACAAATATCCAGCTCCCGTCAAGATATTTGTCATCATTAGCATGCACATGTTCATCAGAGGAACATATCTTCATGCAAACACAACATATGATGCTACCACACACCATAGACCCCTGAAGATAAATAAACTCCCAATCACTTTCTGAATCATAATATTCATAACATAATTTTGTATAAACACATCAGACAAAAACCCAATTCCCGTCAGAGTATTTACAATCAGTCATATACATACCTTTATTCATAGAGAATTTTCTCATGATCCTTTCTTCACAGTTCCCTTTAAGAGAGAGACGACAGATAGTACCACTTTCTCACACTAGGTAGAACATTTGGTCTGACATCCTTCTTCTGCATATAACCCCTTGAATGTCTCTTCTACTTCAGCATAACAAGAGTTTCGTGTTCTTATAGACTTGATGAGAGCTATCAAGTTAGAGTAAACAACCTCTATCCTGTTTTTGAGAAACACCAGTCAGGCATATTGAGAAAAATAAATTCTCAAAACAAAGATGTCAAGACATTATATCTAACATTTCTTCAAGGTCTTCCAACTCTAGATTAGATACTCCCCTTTAAACAGAATCTGTTTCAAGACCACAAACAAGATTATATAAATCTGACTCCTTTAATCAGAAGGATCTTCCAGATATCAGAGAGAACATCCTTGACATTTGAGATTGAACTCCACATATAAAGGATATGGTTGATATGCCTTTTCAAAATCCCCATTAGAAGTTAGAACTCCACTTCAACATTCCTATATATTGTGATCTGAAATAAACGGATCCAATGAGTATACAAGGTGTTCATCATCTCTTGACCAACACAATAAGGCAGGTTTCTTGGATAAAACTTTGCAGACACGTCACTTAGATGCCTTCTCTTCTAAATCAGGAGAAGGTTTTAAACATATATGGTCAATACACATTTGTTTAACATCCAGAGCATCTGCTAAGCCAATTCTTTATCCAACAGGAATCCGCATCGGATAGAACATCTTTCCGAGGAACACGTCAAGAGATCCTTTATCAAAATTTGGAGATTGGCCTTTTAAGATTGGAAGCAAAAAAATTGCTTCTTACTTTCTTCAGATCTCTGTTCAACAAACTCACTTAAAAGTGCCTTTATGAGTAGATATGAGATGAACCTCAAGTATCTTTGGAAACTTTAGAAGACTGGTTGAAGCTATCCTCCAAGTATCACAATGCCACATGATACACCTTCAGAGAGGAACAAATCCCAAAGCTCTTTGTATTACCAGGGTAAACCTCACTAGAGACACATGGAACCATCGGGAGTTTTCCAAATACATGCGCAACAAATCATACATCAACAACTACTCAACACCCTTATGGGAAGAACAAGATAACTCTTTCACATCATCACCATTATACAGGTGACAACAGAACATCCGATGTTTGAAAATAAATCAAACATAACCCATAGAACACATCATCTCACTACATAGTACAATGGATGACAACTTCAGAGAGAACCATCTATCAGGTTGTTATGGATAACTCTCACTCCCGCTTCAAGAGATCATCCAAACCACAACATGAATTGACCGAGTTCACACGGTAGGTACAATGTCATAACATTCGATAAACCCTATCACAATGTATCAAATCGATACAAATGGTGACTTACAACTCAAGAAAGTACACGACTTTCAAAACCATAAACCCTTATTTTTCTTTCTAAATTTGTTTCACCCAGTTTAATTATCAAGCCCTAAGTCTAAGTCTTTCTTTAATAATCTTTAATGTACTGGATTTGGGCTTCAAATCATTGCTGACATGTTGCAGATGAGATAGCAGAAATATCTCCTAAATCATAGGACTTCAATAATTAATTTCCTAATTTATCTTCATAATTATAAACTAATTTAACTCCTTGATTTCAGCTTGAATCTTCTCCAATCTTCAAACTGAGCGCCACATAGGATAACATTATATTCCAAAATATTATGCACATGAAATATATCAATTAAATCAAACTGCCCAGCTGGTCACAATCGCAATGTCAAATGACTATTTATCGGACATCTTCATTCGACATGTCTCTCTGATGATGAAATATGTTAGTTCAATATCCAATTTTATCAAAATTAGTCAAATCTTTAGAGTTCAAGTCTTTGAAACATTCACTAAATACACATGAGAGAAAAAACTTATTAATAAAATTTAAGAATGATATTGACCACACAAAAAATAATATTAGCAATAAATTCTCTCATAATTTTATTTTATAATTTTACTTACTGCGTTCTAAATTTTATTTTATTTTATTGCCAACTTCCTTCACAAAAACAATTTATCAATAATATAATGCATGAATATCATCTTATCTTAAAACTGTCGATTCAATTCATCAACAATTAAAATTATTTTTCAATTTGAATTTTTAAAATGATTAATATATGTTTTTAAATTAACATGACTCAAAATTATATGATAAATAAAAGTCATGTTATATTGTTATGTCATGCAAAAGGAGAATCCTAAAATCAACAACATTTAAATGAGATGACATAAATCTAAGTATGGCTTAGTTCAAAAATCTTTGCAATTGCATGACTATCCAACTCATTAAAAAAAGGAGGATCATGTACCCAAATACTTAGTCCTCCTATAAACAAAATTTTCTACTTAAATATGTGATTTAAAAAAAATGTATTTTTTTGTTGTATTTTTAAAAATAAATGTTATAAAATCATTTTTTAAAATATTATAAATTTTTTTATAATCATTTTTTCTAAATTGAAACGTTACTTTCGATATCCTATAACATAAATATACTTTATTAAAGATCAAAACACAATCGAAATTACAATTTTTTTAAATAATTATATTTCAAAAATAATTTTTATAAAAATTTATTTGAAATAGTTTTAAAATTGAATGATATTTTAAAAATTCAACATTTAATAAAATGATAAAATATCTAAAATAATATTTTAAGAATAATAATTCTAAACAATTTTTTTATTTGAAGTTTTTATGAATAGTTTTTTTTTTTAAATTTTTTTACACAAAATTATATAACACTATAAAAAGTATTTTTCAAAAAAATAATATTTGAAGTAAATAGATTTTATTGCATACAAACTTCATTTATATCTTAGCATTGTAATAAGAAAGTATAACTAAATCTCTATGCAAATTACATCTATAATAAAAATCAATTACAAATACTCTCCATATTTTATGTCTATCCATTTTTGATAAATTACTCTATGTTATATGTATGAATAATTAAATTTATAAAGATTTAATATCTTTTTGATTCTTAAACTTTAAAAATCATTTCTTTAAATTTTAGTATTATTTTAATAATTAGAATATTTACAAATTAGTCACTTAATTTGTGATAATATATGAAAAGACTAATATAATATATTTTAAAGAGTAAAATCAGTGTGCACTTTTTTTTAAGTTAAAAATCAAAATGAACTTCAAAATTAAGTTAGACAAAAAAAGTATTAAATAAAAGAGCATGTTATGATTTAGTATCTGAAATAATTGAAGTTAATATTATAATCTTGCATAAGGTATGGAACCGAATCCTCAATAATTTAGTAATTGATACATGACAGAAATCAATCTACAGCTGTGAATGAGAAATAATGAATTCGGTCCACATAAAATCATTGAGAAATTAAAAACCACACAAAATAAGCATACATACATGAGATGGATAGATAGACATGCATATAATGACATACATGATGATGTTGGTTGTATCGAATAGATAAACTCAGTCACAAAATAAATATAAATAGTGGGTGCCAAGAGAAGAGATAATACAATACAAAAAAATATGAAAAGTATCGAAAGAAGTGGAAGCTGTGAATGGAAAAGAAAGATGAAAAAGAAGAAGGAGAAGGGAGTGTTGTTAGAAGGCTTCGTCAGTGAAGATCTTCCAAGGACGAAAAGCTTAACCGACAAGGATCTTGACGAGTTGAAAGGATGTTTAGATCTAGGATTCGGATTCAGTTACGATGAGATTCCAGAACTATGCAACACTCTCCCAGCATTGGAGTTATGCTATTCAATGTCGGATTCTTCTCCGTCGTTTGCGAATTGGAAGATCTCGAGTCCAGGTGATAGTCCTGAAGATGTTAAAGCTAGGTTGAAATACTGGGCACAAGCTGTTGCTTGTACGGTTAAACTTTGTAACTAATTGTATCTAATTGTTGATTCATAAATGAATTATGTATGATTCTCTGGAATAGGTACTAATGAATAGAAGAAGGAGGTGTTGTGTTCATTCAACTCTATGCATCTCTCTAGAGAGGTTAAGCTAGCTTCGGAACTTAACAGCTATTAATTTCATGTTCATATTATGTTGTTCATTATTGTATCATCCAGGTTATTAATTGATCTAATAAAGTATTATAAATTTATGCTTATTACAATAAGTTTCAATTTTACATTCCTTATTTATATTTGGCTGCAATGAATTCCGAATTCATCTACTGATTTTAGGTTTCATTGTTCAGTAGATTATGAGAGCTGCTTGTATTGATGAACACCATTTGTATTTGCTGAGGTAACTAATCTAACCTAACTTAACTGCACTTTTTCTTTCTTCCAAATTAGTGACAGTAGTAAGTTATAATGCTAACTCTGTCAATTATGCTCCTGTGTTATTTCAGAGCCAATGGTAAGAAAGGTAGAGTCAAGGAAATTAATCTGATTTAGTTGTTTCCTCCTCCATAAGTCTATGAAACATCCACACTACGACACCGATATTAATTTAAAAGATAATGAATAAAAAGTTATCATAAGTGTCAGGACGTGTACATGGATATTGATAAACTATTTTTTTTGTGAAATCAAGCAAAGTGTGCTATCTAATTACTTTGGATAACTTGAAATTTTATTGACTTATTTTTGTTTTAGATGTTGTTGTTTGCATCTTTTTTATAAGGCACTAAAATCTAGAGCAGAAATAATTTTTTCTTGTTGTAGCTGATTATAATTGTAACTGTGTTTGGTATATAAACTACTGCAAAAGTTTGACATTTTAAGCTTCAGTTTCCATTCAGTAAATGTAATTAAGCAGATTGAAAATGATAGATATTACCATTCAAATAACTCAATCTCAATGATGCAATGCTTGGGAACCAAGAACCAACACAATTTGTTGCTCCTTTACATTTCATCAAATTATCCAAATGTCTGTTTTGCGCAGATCAGGTGTTAACACGATCAGAGGAAATTGAGAAAAAGCAAGCCATTGCACAATTCACATTACCGAAAACGAAACCAAACTCTGTATACGAACCAGTTATTTTAAACCAGACTGTTTTTATTCTAAAGATTCAATTTATTAATCTCTCAAATTGAAACAAGTTTATTTGGTGTCTTCTGTTATTCACACTGCTCCAATAGAAACAGGTTTATAACAAGGATTATTATTTATGTTTGTATCCCTTCCTCACCCCTCAGCAATGTCATCTTCCTTCTTAATCTCAGTTTTCACATTTCTCTGCATCCTCCTCCTTCTTAAGGACAGTTTCACATTCCTTTGCCCTCATTGCCCTTCTTTTCTCCTGAATTTGACGAACAAATTCAGGCACCAGTTCATGAAAATTAGGACTCACTTTGTCCATTGGGGAGATATTCATTCCTTCTTTCTTCAATGCCATTGCGAGATGCATCTCCGCCTTCTGCATGTGGACAGTGCAGTACGACGGAGTCGTAGAACTTATTATAGGTTTCTGGCATGTTACGGGTCCAGCCTCTGACCTGCAAAAAAAAAAAAAACATATTACAAAACTGACTATATTTAATCCACGCCTTTAAGCACCAGCCAGAGACAAAAATATGTAATAAAAAAATCTATAATTGATCCCTAGGATTACAATTTACATAAGATCTATTGGCACATGATTATATATTTGTTAGCTTAGGCACATTAATACAAGGATTTAATTCAATGAATGAACATGTATTGGATTGGATCGTGCAATATATGAAAATGAATATTGGTGTCATTAAGAATTGTTAGATTTATTAGATCAGAAGATGAAGTAATAATGATAATAGGAGTGAGTGAGAATTGAGTAAGAGAGAGATAGATATACCTTGCGATGACAAAAGTACAAGGCTTATAAAGCACTTGTTTGGGTTCAGAGAGGACATGCGTAAAGCAAAAGGAAGTGCAAGGCATAGGCTTGGACATACAACCATGAAAAGCACAAACGTTAGTGTAATTGTCATCGACAACATCAGGTTCATCCTGGAAAGGGCTAAGACCAGTGTCAATAACATATTGTCTATGTTTGATCCTGACTTGTTCCATGAGAGCCCAATACATACGTCTGTAGTGTTTGATAAGACGTTTAGTGTTGTGAAGACGACGGCACAGAAGCTCACGATGGGTGAGATGAGTGGCAGTGGAGAGTGGGTCAGAGGCTGGATTTGGAGCATTGGGAGGAGACATTCTGCTGAGTGTTATTGACTGCGCAGCCGCAGCAGCAGCAGCAGCAGCAGTCCGACAGAAGAGAATAGAGAGGGCAAGAAAGTAGGAGTAAGGAATGAAATGGATATTACAAACAAACCTTTATATAGTTCCACTTATTTTAATCCCGTGTCTCTTTCTCTTTTGTCCTTTCTATCTTCTTTGAAATTGGAGAATGGGTTCAGCCTCATGGGCCGGGTCAATAACCCTATTTTACCATACTCTAAAAAAAGTGGCAGTTAACAAACAAACTACAGTTTCTAGAAATACTTTTTAATATTATATTTTGAAATTATTAAATATGTAAACGTTATACAGATATATATACATTTAGCTAAAATATGTAAAATTATTAAAAATTTATGTTGAAAATTGTGCATTTGATTCATATATTGAACCAAATACATTAATTTTTGTTGATCCAAATGTATCTAGTTAAAATGATAGGAGAGAGTGTTACTCTATATTAAAATTTAAAACACCTAAGTTAGCATGATCCACCGTATTTTTGCTTTCACTGAAAGGATAAAGTCGAGTTTAATTGATACTAAGTGTTAAAAGTAAAAAATACTACGCCAATTAAGAGTGAGAATATACTAGGCCAATTAACAGGCCTACGGTCCGGTCTAAGTTTTTTTAACAGAAAATAGTAGATTTATTTATCAGTATTTTTAGTTAAAAAGATTATGCCACATACTATAAAAAAGTCATTTAAATTTATCAGTTGATCTATTTAAATAAATATGAATAATATTATTATTAATATTATATTATACATCAATAAAGTTTAGTTATCTAGAATAAATTACAAAAAGAAGCTTAAAAAATCACATGAACAATGTTATAGGGTGTTTTTCATAAATTTTCTCAAACAAATAGTATCGCAAAATTTATGTTACTAGGTAAATTCGAACAAGTCAATGCAAACAAAAATTTAGTCTCGTTGATCTTTTAATTTGTTAGTCTATTTAAACATTAGTTGAATTGCTTATTTATAAATGTTCAAATAAAACAGGGTTTTAAGTAGGCTAATAGACTATATGTAGATTATATTATATTTGGTTCTACTGATTAGTCTCTTTATCGAGAGTTTGCAAGTTTAATGCAGAGAGAGTTTGAGATATCTCTTATGGGAGAATTGACTTATTTCCTGGGATTGCAAATCAAGCAATCTGAAGAAGGGACCTTTATAAGTCAAACCAAATATTGCCTAGAGATTTTAAAGAAGTTCGATATGAAGGGACTCAAGGAGTATCTCGACATCAATGGCATCACACATGCTTATTGACGAAGATGAACGAGGAGTAGACATCGATATTACCAGGTATAACTAGATTTGTTCCTGTGTACAACAAATATTCGGCCGATTTTCCAGGAGGTTATTAGGAAGAGCCTACCAGAGTGAGCAAACTACTTATTTATTTAACAAACAAACTAGAGTTTCTCGAAACTACATTATTAAAATACTTATTTAATACTATATTTTGAAATTCTTAAATATGTAAACGTTATACAAATATATATACATTTAGCTAAAAAATTATGTTGAGAATTGTGCATTTGATTTATATATTAAACCAAATACATTAATTTTTGTTGATCCAAATGTATATGGTAAAAAGGATAGGAGAGAATGTTACTCTATATTAAAATTTAAAACAACTAAGTTAGCATGATCCACCGTATATTTGCTTTCATTGAAAGGATAAACTCGAGTTTAATTGACGCTAAGTGTTAAAGTAAAAAAATTACAGAGTGAAGCACTATTTTAGTGCATCACAAAAACTACAAAACCCAAATTAATCCTCCACAAAAAAATATCCCTTAAAAAATTTAACCGGATCATATTAGTCTCTCTTAATATTTTTCTCTAACAAATTTTTTTAAGTCTTAATGCATTTTTTGGTCCCTTAACTTAATTTAAGGTTTCAGTTCAGTCCCTTATATAATAAACATTACTTTTAGGTCCCGTATTTGCATTTCTGTTAACCAATATCATCATTTCTGTAAAATGTATGTTATTCTGTTAGTTTCTGCTATATTGGCAGTCCACCTTGGCATAATTAGGTGACATGGATTTAAATTTATCAATTTTAAATAAAAAAAGAATTGTCTTCTGAAGGTTTCATCTTAACCCACATATTTTATTTCCATTTCACTTCTTCCTTTTACCTCTTTGTGGAAACCCTAGCGTCATCTTCATCCAAGTTCATCTTCGCTCAAGGGAGAAATTTAAGTCCAGCTTCGTGCGAAAGGTATCATATTTCTCCATTGTTAATTGAGTACATTTCATCCATTTTCGTTCATATACCTTATTGATACTTCCGTCATCTTCATTTTTAGGGTTTGTGTAACACGAAGAACTTCCACCATCTGTTTTAAGGTACGATTAATGCAAACTTCTTACCATTTTGTAACCATTAGTTGTATTTATCAGTTAGGGTTTTCTATATTCCATTTCTAGGTCATGGATAATCGTTTGTCTGCATTGTTCATCACAGTGGTTTCTTTTCTGAGTTAACAAAATTAGGGTACAATTGATTAAAAGAAACCTGGGATGTGGATCCTGATTATTGGAGCTACTTCGAGGTATTAGATGGGTTAAAGGAGTTAGGTTATCCTAGTATAGAGACTATATGGTATCATGACCAAATGGAGTGTAATAGCATAGTTGAGTTGAAAGATGACAAAGGAATTATGAGGATGCAAACAATAATTGAGTTGACTAGGGAAGTCCATTTATATGTTGTGCATCCTGTGCAAGAAGCATATGTTATTGAGGAACCCATACTGTTACTGAATTACAATGTATCTGTTGGTGGCACTGAAAATGAGATAGAAGACATAGTGGATAAAGGAGACATGGGTTTAGATGGGTGCTTCTTGACAAGTTACTATGGTGGACAAGTTCTTGCTGCAATTGGGAGGGATCCCAATGATCAGATGATACCAATTGCATTTACTGTTGTGGAGGGAGAAACAAAAGATTCATGGACTTGGTTCCTTGAATTGTTGATATCTGACTTAGGAGGCACAAGGATATATAAAACCGATACTTTATAAGTGACCAACAAAAGGTACTAACTAACTTTATTCCCTTACTACACATTAATTTTAGTACTTTTACTGATGCATTCATATATCATTATTCATAGGGACTCTTACCAGCTCTAGAAGAATTGCTGCCTGAAGTCGATCAAAGGTTCTGTGTGAGGCATCTATACAGTAATTTTAGGAAGAAATTCCCAGGTGCTAAACTCAAGGATTTAATATGGCAAGTTGCTACTGCTAGTTATACAAATGCATTTGAAAAAGCCATGCTGGAGATGAAGGTTGTTAATGAGACTGCTTTCAAACATTTAATAAAGCTCTCAACTAGATATTTGAGCAAGGCTTTCTTCAAGACATATCCTTTATGTGATGCCTTGGTAAACAACATGTCAGAAGCTTTCAACTCTGTGTTTGTCACTGCTAGGGTCAAGCTAATAATAACAATGTGTGATACGGTGGGAGAAAAGACTTGAGGGTTTTGCGTTTTATCGCAAATGTTGCGGTTAGCAAGAGTCGTCACCGACTTTTCTTTTATCCAAAAGGAAAGGTGAAAAAGCACAGGAAAGACCTTTGAGATCATTTCTTGAGTTCGGGGGATAGATTATGAAAAGGAAAGGTATTAGCACCCCTTTTATCCATGGTTTTCCATGGGCTCTTAGTTACTTGCTAGATCACTTGCTTTTGTTGTTTGAAAATGTGTTTGGTGTGGTTTTGAAAGTATTTTGTAAAAGAGGCCATTCGTTTAGGAAATCTTTGTAATGATTCTCGTTCGTAAGAATGTATACAAAGATGTTTGTCTTTTGAAAATGTTTTCAATGTTTGTAAGATGTTTTAGAAATGTGTGTGTTTGTTTTGGAAAATAGCAAGGATAGTTGTTTGAAAATAGAGCAAGTAACTAGAAGTAATCTACCTACTCAAAATGTCTTTCTTATGCATTTTCTATTCCTTTGACATTGTTGTCTTACCATTGTTTTGGTAAGCAACCCTATCTTTGGATGTAAACGGGACGGTCGTGGGTCATCGTATAACCATGATTAGCAATATTGCAAAGTATCTTAGCATTTTTTGAGGGACCAAGATCATTTCGTAAGGCAACTTTGAATAGCGTCATCGAGGGACTATGATCTTATATTTGTTTATTTTGCCAAGATACTTCGCATGCGTAATATGGCCATTTTTATATAAGGCAACCAAGTGGAGAAACCCTAAGGATGCTTGTGTGCAAGTGTATTATTTTATGCTTTGATTTTGTCTTGGATTTAAGGCTTTCTATTTGTTTTGTTTTGATCTTTCCATACAAACCCTAATTACTAACATGACATGTAAAGCGATAAATTGCGTAATGTAAAAATTACTAAGCTATTACAACAATTTATGGGAGGGGGGAATACAAATTTGAATGGGGATTTGCAAGAATGTAAATCTAAATAGATTATTACAACCAAATCGAATTTGTACAAACATTAGAATAAACAAATACAATATTTAAATATGCAATATTATGTACATATGTAAGAAAAAGATTTTGTTTTGTTTTTTTATGTAAAAAGAGTTTTAACCTAAAATCCTAATAAATTTTAAGGAAAAAAGAAATTAATTCTTGAAAAAAGAACAAAGTTAACCCTAAAAAGATAATAATTTTTTTATATATTATTTTTTGTGTATTTTTTTATATTAAAATAATGAATAATATTGTATAAAAATATAAAGTTTTTATATGTTAAAATAAACATTTACAAGTATATATATATATATATATATATATATATATATATATATATATATATATATATATATATATATATATATATATATATATATATAAAAGAAAAGATAATAATATATCTAAGTTTTATTTTTTACAAATTTATTTAAGAAAAATAATTAGTATATATTAAAGATAAAATATATTTTTTATGTGAAAAATAGAA